GGAGAATATGGTGGTGGGGGAGAACTTTCCCAATCCAACTCCATAATCTTGTGTTGCGTTAAACTCCCACATGAGCACATATATTGTCGTGGAGAAGAACACCTTTCCGATTGACGAGTGAAGGGCATACAGTTTCATTGTTGACAGCTGTGTCATAATCATTATGTATTAAAGCTAGAGCAGTCGGTCTTTGTTCGGTTTGTGTACACCTCAGGTAATTATCCAACCAGCGAACAGCAGATGCCGAATGTTCACATGAACATGAACATAGTGGAAATATTTTTTTATATCAGAAAAAAATAAGGGGTTCGGCCGTACTCCCCCCCCCCTCCCGCGTACGTGTGTAATCACCAGTTGGTCTCATTAAAAGAAAAGGAAAGACAAGATCATGACGTGTTACCAGCGTTACGTGACTTCCGCTGTCGTAACAATATACACCGGAGATAGAGCGATTATGCCATGTAGCTCTTCATATCTAACTTCTTATGATCTGTAGAGAAAAAATATAGGTGACTTTTTTATTGCTTTAATACAGGCATCTGTATCATCCGTACATAGAGAGTGATAGCACTTTCTCCAATATCGTGCCAGAGGTCTCGTAAAAGTTAAACTACTGAATGATTTACTGATATTGTGGAGATGTTAATAATCATAGTAGAAGAATTGTTCATGAGACATAGTTAGAGAGAGCAATGCGTATGTAAATTGTCGGAATTTGTTCAATTGAATATATTGTTACGTCTCTGGTCGTTTGTTAATTTCCCGTAAAAAGTTTTCCCGAGGAACTTAAGAGATACAAGTCCTTTCTTAAATAAAATTAGTTTATTCTTCCTCAATACAACTTTACAATACACAGAATTTCCACAGTCACTTTAACTTAAACACACGCTATAATTCACAGTGATTTACACACTTTATTTACGGCTTGACTCGATTATCCCTCTATATCTCCCCCTCTGCTAATAATTGCCGGGCTTATATAAACAAAAACAGAGGGCGTCTAGCAAATGCTGGGACGTTCGTGAGGTTCCCCCATCCTTCTAGAATCCCATCACATGTTACCAGCGTCACGTGAATTCCGCTGTCGTAACAATATGTTTTGTGTTATCTGGTCTCCAATTTATTTATTTTTTACACAAATTTTCTCGAGTTAGTGGCTTGTGGGCCTTACCCACGATTGCAAATATCAAAATATCCCGGTGTTACGTCTCTGTTCTCGTTTGTTAATTTTCCGTAGAAATTCTTTCCGAATAACTTCAGCCATACAAGTCCTTTTTTAAATAAAACTAGTTTATTCTATCTCAATACAACTTTGCAATACACTTAGTTTCCACAATTACTTTAACTTTAACACCCGCTATAATTCACAATGATTTACACACTTTACTTACGGCTTGACTCGATTATCTGTCTGTATCTTCAATCTCTCTGTCTACTATTCCAGTTTCAATTAACTGTCTCGCTTTATCTGGCGCGTTTATATACATGAATAGAAGGCGTCTAGCAAATACTGGATTATTCTGATGTTCCCCGATCCTTCTAGAAACTCATCAGTGTTACCAGTGTCACGTGACTTCCGCTGTCGTAACACCGGTAATAAAAAAATCATTTGTAACGAGTGCAGGTCGAACCCAACTACAATGCACCAGGATTTTGGGGTAACCAAAAAAAAGTGTAAAGAATAAGGAAAAGAAAACGAAATAAGCTATAAAATAAGTTAGTCTAAGATAGTATGCTGAAGAAAATAAAACAAAAAAGGGAGCACGACCTAGAACTGATAGACAAACAGGCACACATTTCAAGATTACCATAAAACAACCCGTGCCAGCAGAGACACGTAGGTCTACACATTCAACGAGGCCTATATTGCTTTTCTATGGAAAATTTGTTGAAGACATTAAAAATTTAACCATGCAGTTAACAATATGAGGATGGACAGACGCCCAAAAGGCCGATTTACTTAGACTAAGAATAGCAGGTGAAGCAAAGTGCTTTATCCGAGCATATCACAAGCTCAGAGAAACCAAGGACTTTCAGTATCTAACACCTGGGATGACACAAGAATACCAAAAACGAGAAATGTCAAACATGATACTAACACATATTCACAGTTTAAACAAGACACATTAAAGTCAGGTTATGAAGAATGTTTCATTATAACATAATGAAGAGAAATATAAATGAAGCAAACATGCCTGACGCTAATCTACTAGACTTAATTAAGGTAGCTACTAAAGAAGAGCTATGCAGGAAGTAGATGTACAGACCTTAGCATTCTGCTGTAAACTCTGTAAATAACAGAAATGACCGAACAAATTGGCAGATTAGGAATCAAAATAATCCAGAGGGTACAAAATGCTTCAATTACTGTAAGTTAGGGCATATGACAAGAAAACTGCTTTATGAAAAAGAATGAGCAAATAGAATGTTTTAATTGTGGATTAAGAGGTCACATAGCTAGGAACTGTAGATGGCTATTGAAAGCAGAAAATAAGAAAGTCCCATGGACTGGAACGTTTAAGAAAAAGTTCATGAAAAATACTGAAAACCAACATTTTCTAGTGAAGCAAAGAACGCAATTCCAGTCGGAATTACCAAGCAAAATTAGAAGTAGTTCCGTCAGTATGGAATAAAAGGTTATGTGTTAATAGTGTTAACGAAGTTACGTTAGTAGTTACTGTAAAAATAGGTGTATAATGTCAGTTGTTAGTTGACATAGGCGCTTGATCTTCTCTGCTAAGTGCAGACTTAGTGAAGAAAAATCCGACATTATTGGATAATGCATGGAATAAAGTTTCAAAAATTATCTTAGTTGTCATAACAGGACATCCTGTTAAAATGCTACGCAAATATAATGTTCAGGTAGAAGTAGGGAACTTAGAGCTTGAACACTCTTTCTTCATCTGTAAACAAATAAAGTTGAGAACAGGTGGTATTTTAGGGCAGAATTTCTTGCAAGCTTTGCCACTGAAATATCCATTACCAGAGGTAACCTGCACGTAGAAATGGAAATCTTAAGTTTTGAAGGGATTATACCCCAAACTTATATGCAAAGTTGAAGACAAATTATACCTTCCTACTGACTCAACCTAATAGTCAATTGCTGAACACTGGCGTTAAGTAAAGTAGTGAGGCAAAGGGTCAAAAGTTGAAATACGGAAGCACTGATGCTTCTAAGAGTAAGAATAGATGACAAACTTGGAAGGGTAATAGGATTAAGTGTTCTTGAAGAAACCACACTAAAAGAACTAGAAAGAATAGTATCCTGAGCCTAGCGACAACACTAGTAGTAGTTGTTACAGTAATCGTAATAGTAAATAATGATTGGAAAAAGAAGTACACAGTAGTGAAGTAAGGCAAAATAATTTCAGACAGTTAAATAGCTACATACACTCATCAGACGGCTCCACACCTCTGGGGGCAGACAGAAGAAGGTGATAAAGCTAAAACTGTATTTATGTTACCATTGGGAAAATACCAATTTAATAGAATGCCATTTGGGTTATGTAATGTCTCTTCAACCTTTCAGAGGTTGATGGGTGTAATGTTATCAGGTTTACAAGACTCTGGATGTTTCTGTTACTTAAACGATGTTATAGTTTCCACTGTGAGTTTTGAATAGCACTTAGAAAGGCTAAGACGTGTTTAATAGATTAACTTCACTTGCACTCACTTGATCGCCTATATATATATATACAGGGTCGCCGACAGGGGGGAGCATAGGGGGCAACTGCCTAGGAGCCCGGGCGAATGAAACCTGGTTATGCCGTAAAGCCTGCAAAGCATCTATAGGCTATATCTTCATTCAGTAACAAAAACTATAGTCTTTTGGCTTTTCTTTGCATATAGACGCTTGATACATTAAGAACGACTGAAATAACAATTTGAGTAATAATTCATATATATTTGTTACTTTATAGATTTAATAGTATATTGTTGTTACTTTATTAACGTTTTACGTACTTTATACTAGTGTAAGGTAAAACGTACGTATCGTGTACTATACGTAGTTTTGTTACGTTAG